TCGCGGATAACCGAAGCCTTTCTTCTATTATTATTATTATTATTATTATTATTATTATAATATTTCATGTTAATTATGTATTATTATTTTTTATTTATTTTACGCGTGTGTCTGTCTGTCTGTGTATATGTTTTATGTTTTGTGTTACGTGTGTGAGGAAGTACAAGATCCGACATTATTATTTTTTTTCTTTGTTTTTTTTTTTCTTTTATCTTTTGGTGGTGGTATTTGTCGCGAACTTTAACGTCATTTTGATACATTAATTAATTAATTATAATATATTTGTTTTTTTTTTTTTTATGTATATATATATATATATTTTTTTTTTATATGGTATATTTGCAACTTATTATTTTCTTCCACTATTATTATTATTATTATTGTTATTATCGTATTATCTTCATTTTCATTTAATTATTTTTTCTTTTTTCTTTTTTGGTTTAGTTTATGTTCTTCTTCAACTGCTGCTTCTTCTTCTTTTTTTTTTCTTTTTTTTTTTTTGGTTAATTATTAGTTTTTTTTTGATAACAATTATTATCACTTTTTTAATATTTCGTTTTGTTGGCGCGTGTAAATAAAAAGTTCGCATAAATTGTTTATAAAATACACATTCGCGAGTATTATCAATATTCTATGGAGTGTGTTTCATTCTTTCTTCATTTATTTATTTGTTTATTTCAATCTTCATTTTTCTTATTCCCTTTTTTTCTTCTTTTTTTCTTTTTTTAATTAACACGCTGAGCGAATAAAATCATATATATATATATGTATATAAGACATAATCATTTCATTTTTGTTTGTTACTGAGTAATATATAATTGGAAGCATTTTAATATCATATCGTATTTTTATGTATGTAGATCTTAATATTATTTATTATTATTAATTATTTAATATTAATTTATTATAATTATTATTATCATTCATATCGTCGGGCCTCGAAATTTCGGTAATGAAATTATTGCGAGATTATTGTCGTTATTTTATATTATTTTATATTAATTATATTATTATTATTAATATTATTATTTATTATATTATATTA